GGACTTCTGAATTATATGTTTGAACAATCAGGGCATTGTTTGATATATATTATTTGGAGAACGTTGCAATATGGACCAGTAATTTCATTCTAATTGCCAAATAAATGCCTGTGGCTTTGCGTGTGATGACTAGATTGGTTCAAATTGCATGAATTGTAAACTGTTGAACTTTATTTATTTACTTGGGTATGGGTCACGCAACATGATTTCATATATCAGATTGTTGTGAGTGAAGGCTAATTTTGAGCATGAACTTGATTTATTTGAACCCATGAGGCACCTGATAAATTAGTTGATGTGGATTCAACTACCCATGAGGCACCTGATAAATTAGTTGATGTGGATTCAACTTGCAACTTTGTTGTGATTATGTGGATTAAACAAGTGCATGATATTTTATGTTTATTCAGTTTTTGGGTTTTATGATTAGTTAAAGACCCAATTAAAGTTTGATCATCGAAAATGAGTTAAATGACACTGCATGCCTAATTTAAATAGATTGGATGAAATAAAATGTTGTCAAAGTGACATCTTTTGTAGATTAATTTATTTAAGTACTAAAGATTGTTGTATTTTTGTAATTCATGCGTGTGTTGGTTAACTCAAAGGTGAACTAATTACATGGCCGAATTACAAACATACTTGTGATGATAAACATGTGGCAATTATTTGGTTGTACATATGAACACGATAAATTGGCTCAAAGGAAAATTTATTGTTTGATATGTTATTATTGTCAGTGTTTAATCACTACACTAAGATATCTATTACAAGTTAATATTTTGTCCAAAGATGAAATATCAATGGAGTTATGATGTCTTGAAATAAAGCACCCTCATTTGAGTTTATTATTTAATTCTAAGTAAATTTTGTGACCGTAAACATTGATATTGTTACTTGTATGTTTTCGGGATCTATGGAGTTATCCATCTAAAGGTTGATTTAAAATTTATTATGGTTGTTTATGAGGTTTTAAATCAACATAAGGGATTAAGTTTTATGGTCTTTCACTAAAGAAGATAAAATAAAATAGTAGATCTTTATTTTGTCTTATTTTGTTATGAGTGTATTAATTTGTGCTTAAGTTGACATTTGGTTTTCGTCCAATTCGGCTCAAATTAACAAAGTTTGTTTCTAGCTTAAGATCTAGATATTTGAACTTGGTTCTATGTTTTGTGGACTTAATTCACAATTCGGCAATGTTAAGCCTAATTGGACGTACTAGGCTTTGGCTATATAAATTGGATTTAAAGTCTAATTTGGTTTTATAGACTTTAAACTCAAATAAAGATAATGGACACAAGTTTCATATTTTGGCTCAAATTAAAGTTAAATTTTGAGATTATTTTTTTTCTTGGTATCTCAAAATACTTATAAGATCTGGAGTTTGAGTTTGACTTTGTGGTAGACTCATACTGTGTTTCCGGATGGGCTAATTGTCCCATAAGGATAAGATTTATATTGAAAATCTTCATATACAATCCATTAGGATTTTTGAGTCAATTATGAGAAACATATTAAGCATTTTCATGACTTATGTGTTTAATTTGGTTTAGACTTAAATTCCAAAATAATGTCATGTTGAGTGTTTACATGCTTGAGCTCATTTTTGGATAGTAATTTTTACGACTAATGGATTGAATTTTAGCCCAATTTGGTAATGGTGGGCCGTAAATTCAAAACAAAGTTTATTTGGATTTAAGCTTATTGAAATTAGATTTTAAGCCTACTTGGTTATATGGGCTTTCAATCTAAATAAAGTTGGAATTAAATTTATTTTAATTCATTAACTTTATATCCAAAGTTTTCCTGGGGCGACGATTTAACGTTGTTCAGTTGAGTAGTAGAGAAATTCTCGATCACTTTTTCTATGATGTTGTGATTTTCAATTTAGTCAATCAAAGTATCATGTTGCCATAGCAACCTCTGTGCATAGAGAATGACTTTATTGAAATCATTTTAATATTGTGTGAAGTTATTCATGTGATCTGTGCTCGGCTCATAGGTAGACACAGGTTGACCGAATAATAACGCACATATGGTGATAAGAGAAACTCATATGGCTTTTACTCAATTGGTCTAGTAATTTACTATTTAGTCAATCAAAACATCATGTTGCCATAGCAACCTCTGTATGTGGAGAGCGACTTTATTGAAATTACATAGATGTCGTGTGGAATTATTTATGCATTTTGTGATCAGCCCATAGGTAGACACAATTTGGCAAAATAACAACACACATGTGATGATAAGTATGTGATAATTATTTTGATTGTTCATGTGAACGTTAGTCAGTCCAAAGATAGACTTTTGTTTGACAGAGCTTATTATCAATGCTTGATCATTACAACAAGATTACCACTACAGTTAATTTTCTGTCCATAGACGAGATTAATGGTGCACTATGGTGTCTTGTTATGTGTCCCTATTTGGTCTACTTACCCACATTTATGTATGACATAAATTTATGCGTGAGTACTTTGGTATTGTTCTCTAACTTTGTTTTCTGCTTACCTTAAGTCATTTGTCATTATAAATTTTATATAAGTCTTATATGCTTATAGAACAATATTTGGTTGTTATTGGGACATAAGGTTGATTGATAATGTAGGAAGTTCCACTAAGGATATTTGATGAAATAATATATCTTTTGATTATTGTTTCAATTAAGTTAAATGGAACCTAAGGAAGTACATTGTGATATGTCTAAAT